TTTTTCCTACACAATTTTTCAACTCTTTATACAAGTTATAGTCGTACTACATTTTCTGAATGAGACATACTAGATTTTAAAAGAAAGACACTGAAAAATTTCTTTTTGTGGCAAAATTCATTTGTTTGTAATATAATTTTTATCATAATAATAACTATATACTAGACAAAAATTTTGAGTCATATTATAGGTTTAAACAAAATACTACACTAACTTCTTGTATATAATAATGGGAAACTAGATAAACATAACAACTTTAGCTCTGCAATAAGTAGTTGACTATAAAAATACACACTTCTATCACTTGTTCAGTCGATGAGAGAACTCGAAATATTGTAATCAATAAAAATCTCTTATCGATTGATGTAATGCACTAAGCTGGTTAGAAAAAAACGAAGAGATAGAAGTATAACCTACATGATTGTTGATAATATAATATTGTGATTGTCCTTCGGGTGATGAAAGTATAGGTGAAGTTTGTTTGTCACTTTCATTTGCTGGAGTATATGCCATGATGATTCAGTTGAAAAAGCTTGAAAACACTTCACTTCTTCTAACAAAATAAATAGGATACAGTGTGACGTATTAATTGATTCAGCAGATAACACTACAGATAGAAAACCATTCTTTCTCAAACTCAATCCACGCCAATGTGAAAGCATAGGTCTGTCATAAATATGAATCGTCAAAATCTGTACTGATGATACAACTATTACACAGCATACTATCGCATATGAATGAAAAAAATTACATCCTATGCTAAAGCTATCTTTACGACGATGATCATCTATGAATGACAGATCAAGTTTAACTATATTATACAAGGTGTCTCATAAATAACATGGCGATAAGAAATTTAAATATCTTCACTCCGACTCAAATCAAATAGGCTGAATTTTTGGTTAATGGTAGAACTTTACTCAAAATTTTTTTCATACAGATAATGTAAGTAAACACTACTATTAAGTATTATGATTGATCTCATGAAAAAAAATGTAGCTGTTATCAAGTTAGAAAAATACATGTGAAGCATTCTCTAGATAATTTTCAGTTGTCACCTCAGAGAATGACAAGAGGAACTCAAAACAAACTTTATAAATGATACTAGATTGATGTACATAGAGAAAATTTTCAATACTACTTAGTTTAAATGCTGAAATTCATGTCTGACCACTAAAACGCACGGCTGAAACCCTTCAGGTACAGAATAAGGATGTTTTTAGCAAAAAACCAGTGTTTTACCCGTGAAAATTCGAAATATTGTAACTACTAACTTTTAAACTAACTAATTAGTTTAGGAAGTTTTCTCTATGTACATCAATCTAGTATCATTTATAAAGTTTATTTTGAGTTTCTCTTGTCATTCTCTGAGATGACAATTATTAAAAAAATTTTGAGTAAAGTTCTACCATTAACCAAAAAATCAGCCCATTTGATTTGAGTAGGAGTGAAGATATTTAAATTTCTTATCGTCATGCTATTTATGGGACACCCTGTAGAATGAACATCGATATCCTATTTATTTCAAATTCGAGCCTCGTATCATGGTCTTCAGCGAGATATAATTATCCAGATAATTTAGTAACTTTGACAATTACTTGATGATTGTTCAAACTGAAATGGACGAAGTGAAAACTCTAAAATAGAAAAGAAAATATACTAATGTATCATGAATAATAAAAAAAAACTTTTATATTTTAGAGAAGAAAAATGAAAGACAAAGAGAGTTATCAATGTTGTGTCCAAGTTATTTGGATATTCGAAAAACAGAAAGTTCAATAGGTGGATCAGCACATATATCAACAGATGAATGAACAAGTATATCAGCAGTAGGATGAGCAGGTGGATTAGCACGTATATCAACAGTAGGTTGCACAATAGGATCAGCTGGTGGATTAGCAGGTATATCAACAGTAGGCTGAACAGTAGAAGCAGCAGTTGGATTATTTGTTGTTGAAGCGTTTTCTTCAGCCTTGATTGTTATATACATACGAAAGAATGTCATTGTATGAAGACGTATGCAACATTCATGATTAATCTATATGATAAAAAGAAGACAAAACGAGACGCTGAAAATCTAAAAACTCTGAAAATTCGAGACGAGGCTCTCCAGGAAAGCTATACTTTCTCTAACATTGAGGACTGACTAAGAAATTGTCCTTTTCCTTAATATCCGAAAGAATGTGAACTACTTATGAAATAAAAAAATACAAGTTTACTCACTGAGATAAGAATTTGAAGAGATTTGATCGACTTAACTGTTTCTAGAAATAATGCCATATCCAATACATGAAATATT